TTCATGATATTCTACTCATAAGTTTGTGAGTTACTGTGCTGAGGGTGACACTACTTTATAAACGATGGAACAAAAACAATTTCCTGTTTTAATTTTACACTGCTCCTTGATGGAAAAAAAGAATACCGTTCAGGGCTAGTACTAGATTGTCACCAAGATTTAGCCAAAGCCTCGGTAGATAATAACATTATCCTGAGGTGGATCAAAGGGCACGACAGGAGTAAAGGTAATCGCATTGCCATCTTTTTAGCCAAGGAAGCGGCTGGACTAAGAATTTTAGAACCCAGTGGCACCTACGGGTGACCTTGGGTGACCCTGGGAAGCTGGCGCCGAAGAAATATTTGGCAATGACAAGACAATGGAAGTCCGAACTAGTGAAATTCATCAAGAAACATTGTCAATAACCTTCAAACAAACATAGAGAGCAACTGGTGAACCTCTTTCAAAGAGCCCGAAAGCACAACAATCGGCTGAAACGGTTGTGACCTCGGTATTTTAGGATGTGCGTGGTGTAATATTCATCGACTATCTTGTAGTCAGTCAAAATAATGGAAAAAATACATGAATTGAATTTTGAATTACTCCCCCATCCCCCATTTTCGCCATATTTGGCTCCCAGCCACTATTGGCTGTTCGCAGACCTCAAAAATATGCTCACCGGTAAGAAATTTCGTTCGAATTAAGATGTTATTAGTGATACTGAGGCTCATTTTGAGCCAAAAGGTAAATTGTTCTAGAAAAGTGGTATTGAAATGTTAAAGCGACGCTGGAATGATTGTGTAGCTCTTGACGGAGATTATGTTGATGAATAAAACCAATTTTGAAATAAATACGTTTTCTTTGTTAGGCCCGGGACTTTTCAGCCCATGTGTTATATACTATATTGTGTAGCAATCCTATGCAATCCACTCACCATACAAACTAATCGGCTTCGTTAAGAAGCTGGGTTTATTTGTCCGAGTGTGAATAGGTGTGAGCCACAATAAACCCTTATGGGTTGCGGTGGAGGGTCGAATAGACCCACTCACTTTAGACCTACCTACCTACCTATGAATAATACAAACTGAATAGAAGGAATTGTTTTTTGTATAATTCAATTTTCATATAAAAATAGGTTGTTATTATTATTCATAGTAATTTGTGAAATGGGATAGATGAATATTATAAGCATAAATTACAATGTTTATCGGAAACAGAAATGAATGACGAGTATATAAAAATAGGTTGTTATGAAAGTACTCTTTCTTTTGTATAATTTAATGTTTGTATAAAAGTAGTTTCAAGAGGGCTTTTTCTTCGAATGTGAAAATAACTTCTAAGCATGATACTGGAAAAGTAGAAGGCCAAAACCTTTTTTTCCCAAAAAATATTCTCGTCTCAAATTATACCCCTTTCAATTTATGAGCTGTGTAGAGAAATGGAATGTGTCTGATGAGGAAAGTTGTTCAGCATATAAACATTGTAATCGGAGGGTCTCATAACTCGATTATATCTAATCGAAACCACCGGAAAAGAAACTAGGAAGCCTATAAGGCAGTCCTGGTAACTTATAATCTTAAAGTCTACCGAATTAGATTTAGCTGCATACCGATTACTGGACACTATTATATCTACGTACAATGAACATTGTCCTTCCGTCAACCAGAAATCAAACAGAATAGTTTTCTAGTGGAATGAATATTTGGCACAGATGAGACAATAAAATAAAAAAACTTTCGAAAGGAGAATTAAATCAGGTATCCTGGATCAATACAAAAAGTCTCTAACTGAATACAACAAAGCTCCGAGGAAATCTAAGAGAGACTCATTGAGAAGGCAATTCGAGGAGATCTAACAGACCCAAGTATGCCCCCAGACCCTACATGATACTCTCTAAGGAACCTCAGGTCTCTGGAGAAGGCAATCCGAAGAGGTCGAAGAGACCCAAGTTGCTACCAGACTCTGTAAGATACTCTCTCAGGGACCTCAGATCTCTGGAGAAGGCAATCCGAGGAGATCGAACAGACCCAAGTATCCCCCAGACCCTGTAAGATATTCTCTGAGGGACCTCAGGTCTCAATAAACAATCTTTAAACAAATTCCCGGAAGTACACGAAAACAGGAGATACTACAAGACAGCTTTCCCGGATGCACTTTCCCGGATGCACTTTCCCGGGTCAGAAATTACAAATCTATGTCCAAGAAGTAGAGATCTCAAACATTTTTTTTTTTCAAAAATTAATACCTCCTAAAATTATACACTCCTATTCTCATAATATTTTCAATGAAAAAAACTAATCAACACAGTTTATTGTATGATTTTAACTATAAAAGGGTTTTGCAAAAACCGCGACACGTATTTCGCTTTACAATAGCTTCCTCATGCATAAACTGAGAGTTACTTCTAAATTACAACCATTTTATACTCTAACCTAGTACCTACTCGTCTACCTCAATAATGAATCTACCTGAGAAGGTCAGGTATGAATTCATTAATAATATCAATGAATTTTTCGAAAGTATACCTGTAAATAACAGATTCAATAATGGCGAATTATTCAATTCAATTTGACTGTTCATAAGATGTTGAGAACTGGAGGCTACTAAATGAGCGTCCAGGAAGGATTGGCTGGTGGTGAAGAAGATGGTAGATTTCGAGAAAATTGAATGGACCGTAAACTCATTACAACCCTGTAAGTCGCCGGGACCAGATAGCATTTATTCAGCAATGCTGCAAGGAGGACCGGAACTTCTATTTGAAAAATTGTGTATATACCTCAGAGAGAAAATTAGGCTCTGGGACATATACCAAAAACATAAGGACTGATTAGGGCCCCCCTCATTAAAAACCTGGGAAAATCGGATAGAACTTGTCGAATGCCTTAACACCAATAAGTCTCATATCTTTTGCATTGAAGACATTAGGAAAACTAGGAACATAGCACTGACTGCCAGACCTGCATCCAAACCAATATTGCTACAGATCAGGTATGTCGACAGAAACAGCTTTAGGCCGGGTCACGGAAAAGCAGAATATGCTTACAAGAACAATAACGAAGAAGTGATTTTAACTGTTTTCTAGGACATAGAGGGCCCATTTGATATAACGTTCAGGCGTCCAATAGAAGAGGGATCAACGACACAAGCTGCAGGTCGATAGATTGCATGTTTAGAGGAAGATTGTATTACACAACCAGCATGGTAGAGACATTAGTGACAGGGGTACCAAGAGGTCGTCCTCAAGGAGGAGAAGAGGGTTATACCCACTCTTATGGAACTTTGTCCTCCATTGAGAACAAACTGAAAAATCAAAAAGAGTACTTGATAAAAATCATTATGTAAACTCAAGTGAGACATGAGTGGAACCAGCTGACTGCGTGACACCCAAAATGGTTTGCTAAGTTTTTATGTTGATGTTGGAGATATGACCAATACTTGAAACCGACAACTACGTTAGTGAAAAATTGTGAAGCTTTACTGGAATGCCATCAGAAAACAAATCCACATGAAATTATATAAAATCAAGAAAGGTTTTTCGACCTGTTTGGGCATCATCAATAACGGGCAGGCGGACCTCGATTGAAAATAAACTGAGAAAAACCAAGAGTACTTGATAAAAATACCTACAAAAGTGAGACGTAAGTGGAACCACCTATTGCTGTCTTCAAGTTAGTTGGCCAAGTTTTCATGTTAGCGTTGGAGGTACAACCAACCTTTAAACCGACAACTGCGTTAGCAGAAATTTGGGAAGCTATCCTGGAATACCATCGAAAAATGAATCCACATGTTTCTAAAAATGATTTGAAATCAAGAAAGGTTGATGCATTAAGCTGATGATTCCCAAAAAGGCTAAAATAGCTTTCTACCGGTGACTCTTAAATAGAAATCAAACTGTGAATGATCGTAATAGTACTAATTCATTTTCATGGAATTATTTTCTAGCAGTATTTGTGCCCCTGGACAAGTGGAGGGGCTGAAGTGGAGGGGGAATGGTAGTGGTAGAGATGATAGGGTTGGTAGCGGGAACGAAAGTATAATTTATAGAAGAACGACGTGTAATATTGTGAGATTTGCAGCGGGATAATAATGATCTCCATGTGAATCATTTCGTTCTTTGAGACAATTGGAACATTTTCCAATTTCACTAACTTCGCAGATTATCCTGGCCTGGATTGTTTTTTTGGTGACGATGGTTTTGGTGTTTTTGAAATTTATTATGTAACCTGTGTGAAAAATTATTGTATTTTGTGATGAGAACGTCCAGGAATGGAAGTGAGTTGTTTTTTGACTTCTGATGTAAATTAAGTACAGAGTTCATGTGGTTTAGGTGTCTATGGAGAATTTCAAATCCATGAGGCCATATAACGAAAATATCAACCACATATCGAAGCCAACAGGTAGGTTTGAAGACATGTGTTCTATGTAAAGGTTTTTAACATTTGAATTCTGTCATCTATTTTGTGATGTGTCGTTTGAACATTTGATATTGCTCATAAATGGTATAAAAAAATTGTAGCTAGAGTCATGTCATGTATTACCCCCAATGAAACAGGCGCAGATAGGTTATTGTCAATCAGTTATAAGAACTTTTCCAGAATTAGGTAGCTTTGAGTTGACTTGAGTATCTAAAATGAATATGATGTTAAGACACCTGGTTAATAGAAAATTCCATTTTGACCCCACTAATAAAAATAATAACAATAGTTATTATAAGAAACAATTATAACTTGAATATTTCTAATTTGACTTGCATCAAGATCATGGATGGTATTCATTTCACTGAAATTCAATGTTAAATGTTTGTGGTTATTTCTAACTGAATGAATAAAACAACAAAATATTATTTGGAAAATAATTTTTCTACCTTAAAAGATTACATTGTTTATATAAATTTGACCTAAATTCAAAATATTGTAATTTGAATATACATTTCATTATTTATTTTTCCAGTATCCTGAAAGAATTTAGTATCGATCAATTTGCAGATTTAAATTTATCTAACAGAAAAATACAATCATCCAAAACAAGCACTTTTCCCAATCACCATAAATGTAATACTCTTATCGATGCTCATTCCACTAACCAAGTTGGAAATATTAATACTTATAGGTGACAATGTTAAGATTTTCAGAAAGTGGATAACTTAAAAAAATTATTTCACCAGGAAACCTATTTTTCAAATTACCGTTTCCCTGAATATGATACTCACCCTAACCATTTCTTCTGGTGGTGATATCAAGTCAACTACCAGTGCTCTGTGATATTCCCCAAAAAACTTTTGAGCACAGTAAAGTCCTTCACGAACTAATTCTACAGGAACTACATAGTCTTTTGCATGTTGATTGTAAAACTCCCTGTAAAAAATCAAACATCTACAGAAAATTGTATGTCAAAATTTAGAGATCTATCTATTTGTGTAATCAAATACGACTTTATAAAACGACCAGGAAAAAAATCAAATTAATTAGGGAAATGAGGATAATCAAAATACATTTGCAAGAATGCTTCACTGCAGGTTACAGAAAGTGGCCCTAGCAAACAGTGTTAACTAGTTAAATGACTGCCAAGTCAAAAATACTATTACACTCCATATTCTTATAAATTTGCTAATATAAAAATTATTTCAATTTTTTTATGATAATGATTTATTTTCCCAAGAAACGTGCATATTTCTAGTGGGAAAAAATCAATGATTCAAAACTATAACCTAGCTGAGTAAGAACAAAAAAAGGATAAGTCAGAACTGAAACAAAAAATTAAATGACTCAATATATTTTGAGAGTCTAATAAATTATAACTTAATGATCACTTAACCCACGGTGTGGGGAGTGGTCATTGGTTGATAATGCTGGCGTGCCCCTCCGAATGTTTCATACCAGAGCACCTCAAATAAATCAAGCGATGATAAAAAGAGACTGCTACACCATTCACCGCAAATGCTATAATAGTCAGTTGAAACCAAAATTTGAATAACATGACAATATCAAAATCAGATTCAAAACAACAATGATGAGGCGCAAAAGAAAATTACAAAGTTACTCTCAGGAAATCCCTCATTTGGGGAGGAAATACCCACAGTCTTCAGAGTTCATATGAACCCTGAAACGGGAAATTTGCAAATGCAAATGACTGATGTGGAGTTCTTCTCCACTCCACTTCCGAAATGGCTGCTCATGGTGATATACTCAGATTAACAAAGGCGGCATATAAATTAAATGAGAAAACAGGGTCTATTATCGTGAAGTAATACTACCGCTATTATCCATTGAAAACGCACTACAAACCCCTATCAGAGAAGGTACCGGTATGATAGAAATACCCACTCAAAAAAAATATATATCAGAAAAAAAATTATGTTTATTGAAATATATTGAATCAGTTGATCGTCAGGTATTACTTTGTAGTACACGAATGGCTGGACACGATAATAAAATATTAGTCACAATTTAGGAATACTTCTTATTGGTTTGCCAACAGACATCCGTTCACTTGTATCAAGAACACATTTTTACCTTACATACTAACTGAACGATTATATTTATATAAGACACTGAACGAATTTTATAACTAACATGACGTCACTCTAAATCCAATATAGCGTACTGACTAAAATGGCGGACAAGTTTTTTTTATGCACCCCCATGATATGGGTATCGAATGAGAGACTGCTGAAAATAATACGAAAAATAAACAAACGTCACTCTGAATCTAAAATGGCGAACCGCCTAAGATGGCAGACTAGTTTTTAATGCGCCCACATGATATAGGTATCAAATGAAATGGTTTGCTGAAAAAAATGCAGAAAATAAAATGGCATCAATTTGAATCCATTATGGCGGACTCCTAAAGATGGTGTACTAAGTGTAAGAGGAAAAATGTAAATGACGGAAAACAAGATGGCCGTCATACTAATATTGAAGAGTTTCAATCAATAATATATAATAATAATAATGTTGTTTGAAGGTGGTTGACAATGTTTCGTGGTGTATTTCATCAGTTCGGACTTCCATTGTCTAAAATGAAATAAATTGATTTGAAATCCCTGAAAAAAAAATTTAAAAGATTAACCAAAAATAACAATTTTATTGAACAAAAAACTGAAATTACAAAGAAATAACATACAAGCAACAAATATTACTGAAGTTTTTTCCTAACACCAAATCGTTATTTTTAACACCTCGACACCTGTTTCGATCACCAAGTGATCATCTTCAAAGAGGAAGATTAAAACTAGGAACTAGTGCGAGCTAATCCTATTTATGCTATAAAGGTAACCCATACAGGTAAACCATCCAGGCGTACCAACCATACAGGTATACCAGCCTAAATTAATTTTACAATTTGGCCTTATCTATTATTTTACAATATATGTTTATATAAAACCCTTTTCAGCTAGTATATCTTGCGCCCCAGAGGTGTTCCAGAAATAATTGGAGCGAATACTCATCTCTTGTGAAGGAACTACAAATTTCATAGATGATATTCTTGTGTTTGGCTCTGATGAAGCGAAACATGATAAAAGATTACAGATAACTATGAACTTAATGAAAATAACGTACTGCTAAATAAGGAGAAATGCGTTTTCAAAATGAAAAATGTTCAATTTCTGGGCCATGAATTGTTGCCAGAGGGAATCAAACCACGTGCATGTTACATAGATGTCGTCAGGTCTTTTCGTGAACCGAACACAATTGAAGAAGTCCAAAGCTTTCTTGGACTCATCAACTGTATAGGAAAATGGCTGGCAAACCTTGCAACGCTCACAGAAGCGGAAACTTGGAAAAAACGCCAACGTGAAGAAGTATTGGACACAGCAACAGGCAAAAGCTTTCCAAAACCTAAAGGTTGCTCTCATGAACATTCTATCATTGAGGTACTATAATCCGCACTTGAGAACCCAAGTGATAACGGATGCTAGTCCAGTTAGTCTGGAAGCAGTCCTCGTTCAGTTGGATGAAAAAGGGCCACGCATAATAAGATTTGGAAACAGAAGTCTATCGGACTGGGAAAAGAGATATTGCCAAACCGAGAAAGAAGCCCTTGCCCTTGTATGGGCTGTCGAACACTTCAAAATTTATCTGTATGGGAAAAATCATTTTGAATTGGTCACAGATCACAGACCTTTGGAGGTTATATTCGCACCGAGATCGAAACCATATGCAAGAATCGAACGATCGGTACTTCGGTTGCAAGCTTTCAATTTCAAAGTCGTTTACCAACCTGGAAAATCAAATGTTGCAGATCCCCTATTGCGATTATGCATTAAAAAACCTGAGGTTGATGATCATTTCAATAATGATGACCATGTTCACAAAATAATGAAGTACTCCCGCCCTGTGGCTGCATCTCTGGAAAAATTAAAACTTTCCTCAGAGAAGGATAAGAATATTCTGAAAGTGAAAATGGGGTTATATTAAAATGTAGGAGTTACAAAATTTTCTAAACGAAGCTCGCCTTTTGTGATGGAATTCTCTTACAGGGAAATGATTTTTTTTTATTAAGAATAAACAACAGCGTACAGTTCAACATAGTTAAGACACTATAAATATAAATATGTTGTTATTCTCCCTAATCAGCAAAAATGCTGGTCTCGTGATTCACAAACATTCAACATGACAAGTGAAACACAAAAATACGTAAACCACTACAAAGCTCATAGTAGTAACGCATCAGACAGATGTTCTTTTAAACTATTGATGAATGAACTATAAGCCCGGCAACTCACGTATATGGACAGGTAATTCATTGCAGACTTTTATAGCCTGTGTAAAAGGATTGTATAATCTTTTGTTCGTTCTTACCATGCTTAGGTGTAAGTCATTTCTACCCCTTGTTTTATACTCATAAAACTGGTTGTTGACTAGTAGATTGTTGTTGCTTTTGATTCTTTTGTTTTTTATTTTATATATGTTCTTGCATTGCTCAAGTTTGAGTAGATATGTAATTGGGTGTAGTTCAGTCTGTGAGAATAAATTATGTGTGTGGGTTCGAAATGGAATTTGAAATAAAATTTTTATTGATTTATTTTGTAGCGTTTGAATTTTTTGAAATAAATAATGCCACAATTACCCCATATGATTAACAGATACCTAAGATTCGCCAATATATATATGCATTCTAAACCAAGTATCTATTACTGAAACTCAAGTGACTGGAACACCTACATAGAGCTCCTAACATTGGTAAACATTGGTACAATTTTATCATTAATATATTCTATGTGTCCTGACCAGTTTAACTTATCATCTATTATGAGTCCCAAATACTTGGTTTTTGCAACATTTATTGAATGTAAGTTATTTATTTTTAATTCAATATTTCCACAAATTCTATTTTTTTGTTTAAATAGCATGTAAACGGTTTTTGCAGAGTTCACCTTAAGATTATTATGCGAAAGCCAATTTGAGTATTTAGAGATCTTCATTAACTGTGTTCTCCACTGTACAAAAGCACCGTGTCATCGGCGAACGTGAAATACCTTCCCTTAAGCCCGGCCTGCCTCAGTGACAGTACCATCTGTGTATACAACAGGGGTCCCAAAACGGATCCCTGTGGTACGCCATAATTATTTTTTATATGCTCTCACCAACAGTGACAAACTGGAATGTTTCCTTTAAAAATGTCTCAATGAGAGAAAAGTTTTGCCCCTTATACCCATGCAACATAGTTTGTTCAGAAGAACAGCATGGTCAAAAACGTCAAATGCTTTTTTTTAATCAATGAACACTGCAATAACCATTCTTTTTTTATCCAATTCCGATGTAATATTATCAATGAAATCTATTGTGGCGCTTAGAGTGCTGCTACCCTTGATAAAACCATACTGATACTCATCAAATCCCACATAACGATCAACAAAGTCCATTATTCTTGTCTTTATTATAGTTTCAATAATTTTAGAGAATGAGCACACAATTGTTATAGGTCTATATTTTTCTAAGTTTTTGTTATCACCACCTTTAAATATTGGTATTACTTTTCCAGTCTTCAGTATCTCAGGAAATACCTCCGCTTTGAAAATATCGTTTATCAAATTAACAAGTATGGAAAGGACAGTATTTTCAATTGATATTATGTCTTTAAGGGATATGTTGTCGTGCCCTGCTGCAGAGTTTTTATTGAGTACCACTATAACTTCAGATACCTCTTTAACATTGGTTTTTTTTTAGAAATAATGAGTTGCCACACGATGATTCCTCAAAATCTACACTTTCTATATTAATATCTATATTGGAAATAATTGATTGACCTATGCTATTAAAATACCTGTTGAACATATTTGCCACCTCTTGAGGGTCAGTGATAGTTCTATCATCTGTAACTAATTTAATTAACTCGTTTTTTTCCTTCTTCA